GCATGATAGAATAGTTTGGGTTGGAAGGGACCTTAAAGCTCATCCAGTTCCAATCCCTTGCCACGGGCAGGGACACCTTCCACTAGGGCAGGTTGCTCCAAGCCCTGTCCAACCTGGCCTTGAACTCTGCCAGGGATGGAGCATTTACCACTTCTTTGGGCAACCCATTCCAGTGCCTCACCACCCTCCCAGTAGAGGATTTCTTCCTTATATCCAACTTAAAGAAGCTTCCTCATATTTAACATCAAAAGCTTCTCCCCTAGAAAGGTGTTTTCTGATGCTTTGCATTAAGTTCACAGCATCGAATTAGAACGTATTGGGCCACTATAAGATGCTGAGGCTGTTAAAGCTGCGTGTGTGCATGTGCACATGCACATGTGTGTGTGTGTGTACCTGTGTGTTTAATGCAGGGCTTTACAAAACTATCAAGCACTCTTTAAAGTGCCATAAAATTTAATGCTCAATAGGGAAGCCTAAACAAATGAAGCTGCACTATAAAATGTTTAGTGTTTCTATCGCTTTCACTTTGAACATGAAGATTTACTGAAACTCACAAGAGGGATTTCTCCGTTCTTTTCTCTTCCTTATCCTTTCTCCCTTTGCCTTTTTAATTCTGTATTCTGTATTCCCAGAGAATTTATCATTGTTTTTGTATGGGAATATCTCCAACTCCCTGTGCACTTGGTTCCAAATCATGCTGCTGTCTGCTACTGAAGGGAGCTGCTTGTTCTCTGATTGTTCCTTGGCAATTATGCAGTTGAGATCAAAATACAAGAGCACTGCTCTTTCATCTACCTCAAAAGCCATGCTATTTAGTTATTTTACTGTGTAAAGAGGCTGCCAGAAGTGCCTGGTGCAGCTCTTACCCTCGTCCTGTTGCCATTTGGTCTGCTTTCATTGTGACTTCAAACACAGATCTCACAGCATAATCCATGGACAGCCAAAGTGCACCCTAAGATCTCCTAAGGCACAAGCAATGGGGACGTTTTGTAACTGCCCAGTGAAGACATCCACATAGCACACCCTTGTTGATGTCAATGAACTCAAACATCATGTCACTTCCACCTCACTTGCACATCTCTCAACACCCTCTTTCTAAAGTAAGGCAGGACATGAGCATTGGAGGTGCCCTTGCTGCTGGGAGAGGACCTCATAGCTCACCTGTGTGGAACAACATAGTTGAGTGTGGGTGTGCAAAGGGCAGTGGGGATTAGATATTACCTCTAGCATCCTGACTGAACAGTATCTCAGCCTCATGATCCTCACTTGTACTCCAGGGGTGGCAATGTTCACCTTCTTCTGGCATAAAGCTTTTAACTTGCTCATTAAAGCTTGTGACATTTGGCTTCTCAGCACTGAGATGCAGGCTGAGATTGGCAGGGAAGACCAGGATACACTTGTATTGTGTTGTGTTTCCACCAACAGGCGGTGTGGGATGAATAAGTGTCAGTGAAGACTGTGAGCTATCATCTTCATCTCTTCTGACTGTGGCACAGTATTATGTAAATGTATGGTTTCATTTCTGTCCCTACTATGATCCCTTGGGAGAAAAGATGTAGCCAGATGCCTTCATCCAAGTAATTTTTCCAAGTGAAAAATTATTGTTATGGATAATTGAATCCAGGAAATGGAATGGCTCCTCTTTTTCTAGACCTCAGAGAAGCCACAGCTCGTGACCTTTCCTATTATTTCAGCTGTGCATTTCATTCTCCTCAAGGGAACATTCCAAGGTCACAGCCTTTCCTCCTGACTGGAACCCAGGAAAGTAGGGATTAAACCTTGCGCATACTCCAACACCCCTGCATTTGGACACAAGTGGCAGGAGCGCGTCTGGTTTCTAGCTTGCCTTCCATCTGCCCCAGGGCCTGAACTTAGCTGCAGGTTTCAGCATGAGAAGAGGCACGAAGTTCCAACGTGCACATCTGGAATTAAGAGCCGAAAATTGGGCTCGGTGCTGATAACGCTTTATTGACAGGAGATGAAAGTCTTGATTCCAATAACTTTCCGAGCTCCAGTTCCCACTGCTTTACGAGGTGTTACACACTTTGGTACCTTTGAGAGAGAGTTTGCTTCCCCTCCTTCTCTCCCACATCTTTATTGCTTCTGTTCCGCAGACTCGAGTCATTAAAGTCTGAAATGCTTCAGCGCAGGAGGGTACGGAAACCTCCTTTTCCTGAGCCCCAGTGAGAAACGTCAGCAACAAGGTTATCAGAGAAGGATGGGCACGTCCGACCCCAGGACCAAAGTGCTTCCATCAGCCACTGGCAGAGCTCAGTGCTAATGGCTCAGGTCAAACTCCACTTGCAAAGAGGACAACCACCTATGATATGTCCTCGGTTCATCTTCCTTCCTTTGCCCCCTGCAAGGCACCAGCACAGAAACTCCCACAGTACCCAAAGAGGGCTCACAGTGAGATGGGGGTGGATGCAAAGCAGAGGCAGAGGAGGGAAAAGTAAATACAGCACTGTAGGAGGCATGGTGTGACTGTCATTCCCCATTGTTGTGTGTTCTGGCACTAGCAGCATAGCGGGTGAGGCAGGACTGTTATGATCACGTCCTTACCCAGCATCAAGAATCAGACTGAAGGATACAAAGGCAGGGGGACACCAGCACTTCTGTCAACCATGTCTTACAAAGCCCAGGTCATCTGCATCCATTAGACCACAGAAAACCAAGACAATATCTGTGTTCTTGTTTCCCTTTGAGCTGACTTCAGTTACCACTCTCCTCTGTGCTCTAGCCATGGGCTGAGGGGCTTCCTCCAGCTTGTCTTGCTTTCCTGCTGCTGGAAACAAGACAGTAATAGTTGGTTGCTGTGAGGGACCCCAGTTTCTAAATCAGTTCCTAAATCAGGAACTGGGATCTTTAAGCTCCTTTTCAACCCAAACCACTCTGTGATACTCTGACATTTTCTTTAGAAATTAAAATGCCTGGAAAAAAAAGAAGTTTGGGGTTTTCAACCAAAAATAAGTTATTTTGTCCCAAAAAACTTGCAATAGGAACTTTAGCCACCTACCATAAGTCACTCCACTTTTAAGATCCAATGCCTTCAGTGACTCATCATCACGTATCACTACATGGGCATCATTTGATCTGTAGTCTATAGATGAGATCCCAGCATCACCTGTAGAGTTGAGGCATGAAGAACTCTTTACTGCAGCTCCCATTATGTAAGGCAAAAACATACACATGAAACAGAAAAAGAGAAACATTTTCAATGTTAAGAATGTTAAAAAATGTTAAAATTAAATGTTAAAATTAACATTTTCAATGTTAAGAATAATTATGATGAAATGTGTAAATTTTCATGTTAAATCCCCATGTTTTCAGATCAGCTGTAACTGCAGCTCTGTGATGGCACTATTAAGGCTCCTGTTGTAACTGCAGGCAGCCCGTTTCCCCTGCAGGAAGCTGCTCCAGTGTTTATTACAACACTGGGGTTACCTCCAGTGTTAACTAACAGCTGTCCCTAAGGTAGAGTGGCTAAGCTGTGATCCAGAAACCTTATCTCTTCATTTGCTGTCTCTTGCCCACCTCCTTTTTCTGACTTTGACTCTGAATTGAGGCAAACTGCACAGGAAGAAATTGTCACTGAAGCCACAAGACTCTGGGTTTCCCGCTTACTGCTGAGCATCTCCTCCTGTAGTGATACCCATCCATAGCTCATGTGGTCCAGCGCTTCAGAAGCCATGGAAAAGGAGGCAATTAGAAGTAGAATGAAATTCCCATTTTCCTGGCTGGCTTCAGAAACATGCAAGCTCCATCAGGTCTCTGAGCTGTTGCTTATCTGCAGGTTTCTCTTGTTTGATCTGAAGATTCCAGTTGACACAGTCCTGACGCATTTGGGTAATAGATGCCAGCTCCTTGGATTGCTTTTCCAAATGCTCACTGGAGGAGTTAGGTGGCTTTAGTTTTACACCAGATATCAAACAGCAGCTCCAAACATGTTAAGTTCTTGAGTGCTCACTTGAAAAGATCCCCAGAGAGCCCCATTGTGGAATCCTTTCCCTGCCTTCACAGATTTTATTTTAAGCTTTACAGCGAGCTTTTTGGTCTTTCCTGGACCTGAATTGTCTCTGGTCTGTCAGCCACATGGTGCAGATGTCTGCATCCCCTTCCCTGCCAGCATTCTCCCAGTTATTATTCCCCAAACCTGATCTTCTTGTCTGAGCCTCCATGTGTTAAGGATCCCTTTGGGACAACGTGATTACTTCCCTCTGCCTGTTGTACATCCCTGACAGCTTGCCTGGCAAAAGCCAAGCTTTGCCCACAGGCAGATATTAATCTCAGAACTGGTTCATCCTGAGGAAAGAATTGCCATTAGGTGGAATTCAGTCCTCTCACCACCTGGGTTAGTCACCAAATCTTCTATCCCTGCAGTAGAAGAGACCTAATAAAGAGCCCAAAACCAGCTAGGGACCAACTCAAAACACCCAGAGATACTTCTTCAGCCTAAATTAAGCCATGGAATTCCTTGTTATAGGATGTTTGGGTGTAAATAGTGCTAGAAGAGTAAATTGAGGGAAAAATTCATCTGGAGCTGTTAAACACAAAGCTATTAAATTGCTGGAACTCTGGGAATACGTGCTTCAAATCTGCCTTGTTTGCCTTTTCCTAGGCATCTGTTATACACGTATCAAAGGGTGGCAGAACCTTTGGTCAGCTACTGTGTCAAAGGACCACACAGGCCCTTGTACGTTTAGATCATGTTCCATTACAGCCTGTATTGCTCTTTCAGAGGACCTTGCTGCTATTGAAAGCTTAATGCTTTTCCTCCTTTCTATACACAACCACAACTCAAGAGCATGACAAAGCTGCAGTTTGTGCACTGGGATGATTCTTGGGATTATGGAATGCCCAAACCTGTTTTTCTACTAAAGGCAGGAGGATTGTCTCTCCCAAGGCTTAGCCTCTGCTGTAACCAGAAAGCAATGCTCCATCTCATGCTGCTTCTGTCTTCCTTTGCATTGCACCCACAGTCGTATAATAAATAAATACTTAAAGCTTAAATTTATACTTAAATAGTTAGGAAAACTCTTTAAGCATAAAGCTTAAAGCACCATGCTTATGAAAGTGCTATCAACCACTAAACAATGTATAGTCTCTTTTGAACTCTTCAATCAGATCTTAGAACTCCTCTCAGCCTGTCATGCACAAGAAGGGCTGGATTGTCCCACATGTACCAGAGCTGGTCAGTAACCCATTGGTCAGAGCCACTCAGCATTTCTTCAGGATTTCCCCAGCATTACTCTCTGTATGAGGAATTCCAGGTACAGATATTTATTAAACATGGAATCCTGATTTCAGCTACCTCAAAAGCAACTCCATGAAAACACTGGCATGAATTTGCTGTTTCTGCAAATAAATATCTTAGAAAACGAGACAAAATCAGACAGAATTGGTGAATCCTGGACAATTTTGTGTTGCATACCTTGGTTATCCAAGATACCACACGTCTCAGCTCTGGTGTGAAACATTCCCTTTCCTTCTGGCTCCAAGACTCATAAACAAGCCATCCATTACACCACTTATAACAAGCCTATTGCCTTCCCTTGCCAGTCCTAAATGAGGGAGCAACAGGTACCTGTGTGTCTGTCCTGATGGTCAAGGAATGATTCAAACCCTTTGCTACCAGGATCAAGCAAACAAGAAGCACGAAGTCAAGCAAGCTGCACCTCTGCTGTGCCTGGCTGCCATCTCCTGCTCCCCTTCAACAGATGGGAAACACCCTGAAGCAAAATTAAGAAGAGCCCTGTTTATTTTGGGACTGCAGATTACTGTCAAACGTGAAAAGAGACAATTATTTCCATTGTGGAAAATGTGGCATTAACGAAGGAGCAGTTCCCCGCGCCTGGGCTTTGTGTTTTGCGTTTCTCTAAGGAAGTTTTCCTCTCTTTCTTTGCAGCACAGGCTTGAATTAAGTGGGCAGAGAGGCATTTAAATAAAAATATTTGTAAACGAAGTGGTTTTCCTGAACAAAGTAGATCCAGATGACAGAACAGTCTGTCGGCTGCAGCATCTCGGTGCCTGCCGTATGACGGCCCCTTTGTTTGATGGCAGGATGGAGGAGGCAGGGCATTTTTAGAATCATAGAACCATAGAATGGTTTAGGTTGGAAAGGACCTTAAAGCTCATCCAGTTCCAACCCCCCTGCCATGGGCAGGGACACCTCACACTAGACCATGCCATCCAAGGCTCTGTCCAACCTGGCCTTGAACACTGCCAGGGATTGAACATTCACCACTGCTTTGGGCAACCTGTGCCACGGCCTCACCACCCTCACAGTAAAGAACTTCTGCCTTATATCTAACCTGAACTTCCCCTGTTTAAGTTTGAACCCATCACCCCTTGTCCTATCACTACAATTTTGGCCACAAATATCACCAGACCTGAACACAATGAGGACTGTGGTAAAGCTGATGATAGCTGGAGAGCCCAAAGGTGCAGAAGATGCCATGGAGGTGCAGAAGACCTCACTGGTGTCCAATGGATTTTTCAGAGGGCAAATAGACCCTGGCATCATGGTGGTGGTGTTGGAATGTGGGAGGCAGTGTGGATGAGCAGCTTCAGAGGCAGCATCAGCTCTAAACAGCTCGAGCAGTTCCTCAGGTTGCAGTGAGGGTGCTGAGGCACTGGCACAGGGTGCCCAGAGAAGCTGTGTCTGCCCCATCCCTGGCAGTGTTCAAGGCCAGGTTGGACACAGGGCCTTGGAGCAAGCTGCTCTAGTGGAAGATGTCCCTGCCTGTGGCAAGGGATTGGAACTGAATGAGCTTTAAGGTCCCTTCCAACACAAACCAGGCTGGGATTCTGTGAAGAGTTTCTCATTCCTCAGAAGGTCAATGTCAAGGTGGATGCCCCTTCTCAAGGACAGCCAGCAGCTAAGGCTTCTCTGGAGCCGTAGGTGACCCAAGCTCAAAGCCCTTCCTTAGGGTGGGTCTAAGTAGTCCCCACCTCATTGAACAGGTAGTTGCATTTCCATTGTTTTCATTGAAAAGCTTCAAACAGGCTTCCCAGGAAGTGTCCCTGGAAGTGTTCAAAAACCATGTGGATGAGGCCCTCAGTGACATGGGTTAGTGGTGACCTTGGCAATGTTGGGGGATGGTTGGACTTGATGATCTTAAAGGTCATTTCCAGCCTACCTGCTTCTATGATTCTGTTCAAAACCAAGCTCTAATCCATCCTGAAGACAAATAGAAGGAAAACCTTGGAAGTACAGGATGGGAAACACACTCCTTGCCCATCAACATGAATTATTACCCCAGGCTTGTACTTGCTAACACAGTTCCTGCCCATGTTGGTCACCTCCCATGGATCACCTCCGGAGTGGTGGCTCCTATGGAGGTCTGCAGGGCAGCGCTGCACCTCGGACTGCTGCAGAGCTGCATATGCCAGATGCCAGGAGAGTGCCAGGTTCAGCTCTGTGAGTTGTTATTTTTAATTCTTAATAGTGCCCTGAGGCTTTTGTGACTTTCCATTGTTCATTTCTAGGGGGAACTGCACTGCCAAGGTCTGTTCACTTGTTCTGGCTCTTTCTGCAAAGGCCTGAAGTGCCTTTTTTCTCCCCTATTTGTTCTCAGAAATAAAGCATCTCTGCAAACGGCATGTATCAGCTTTCCACCCTCCCTGTGCCTTAACCACAAATGTCTGACTCCTGACAGCTTCTCTCCTCCTGAGTTGGTCTTTCTGCAGTGACTGCTTACATTTTCCTGTTCTGTCTGTACAATGATGGTGAGGAAGGAGAACTCATCGTACAGAATACATGCATGGACCAGCCTTCTGCATCATCAGGATGCGCATCTCCATCCACTGAGATGTGGGGCCTGGACCGTCTCCCCAGTCCCCATGAATTATATCCTATATTAAATGGCCTGTCACATTACTGAAGGCGACACTGGTGTATTTGATTAGTAAGGAAGCTCTGAAGGAACCCATCTGTCTTAGCATTTATCTCTTTCATGGGTTTTCTTTTGTCCAAAGGAATCATTTACTCTGATGTGAAATAATGCAAGATCTGGCATCTTTGGGGATTTCAGCAGGAAGCTATCCTCCCTGAGCCTCATTTTAATCTCTTATTGTCATAAATCAGGAATAACCGCAAGAAAGTCAGTAAAATTAAGCTTGTGGAAACTGATGTACAAGACTTGGGGCCTCTGATTGCCACCAGCAATGGAGATGAGCTCACCCCCTGAATCTCTTCTCCCTCTGTACGCAAACGCCGCTGATCTGTTGAGATGCTCAGACGTGGCTTTGAACTTTGTATGCTGAAATACAGCATCCAGGCTTTGGAAAGTGGCTCCTCACGTGATGTTACTGACCAGGTAGAAGATATTAGAACTTATGGGGAAAAAGATCTCTTTTTGAGGGATGCTCAGGCCAAGCCAATAGAAATAGGAAATTCCAGTTGTGCAGAAAAGCTTTTGAACCTACTCTCATCCCAGCCAAGGTGCTGCAACACACTTCCTACTTGGATCTATTAAAATGATGGGTATGGATCAGATTCAAAAAGCCAATCTAAAGGCTATTTCTGTGATATCAGAGCAGCCTGTTGCTATAAGTGGTGTGACCGTAGGAGCACCAGGAAGCAGCATTTTGCCTTTGTTCTGCCTACACATGAGATGCGGTCAGGAAAAATGATTTTACATCTCTTTCAGAATGGCTAAAATCTGAGCTTAGTTTCTATTCTGCTTCAGTTTAATGGAATGGATTCTGATTAAAAGCTATGCTTAACTGGAGCTGCCAAGATAAGAGAATACTTGAAGATTTTGCTATGTTGAAAATATGAATTTAAGAACAGAAAAGATTTCATTTTTCGTTCATTTTCCTTCAACATTTGATTTGTCTTGGACAGAAAGAATTGTCCACTCGCTTTCATAGTCTGGGGAGATGCTGAGATTTCAGACCATGCAGGAAATACCTAATAATGGCATTTCTTCTTGCCATTCTCATGCTTTCACATTAAGGTTTGGCATGAGACCAGGTTTAAGTATGAAACACTGCCTGTCTGTCAAAGCTTTGTGGTTCTTCCACTGATGTCTGGGTACCTCATTGTTTTTGTTAAAGCCTGAGAGATGCACAGAGAAGTGACCTTTCTGCTTTTGTAACTTGTATAAATAAAGGGGCTTGGAAACTGCTGCTGGCAGCTCTGGGTGATGGAAAGCTGAAACTCCACTTGGTGAGAAATGTTCACTTGTAAAACTGAGATGTTGTTCAGAGTGGAAGTGAAAAGAACGTCTTCATGAATTTCCCTTCGACTAAAACGCCGAAACATTTCCACTTGTAGCTGTCAATGCATCATCTTCTGCTTGTGTGGAGCTGCTCTGGTTTTATAGCCTCAAAACCAGAAGCTGCACGTTAAGTGTGACTCCTTGGTACATGCAGGAATATTTCATACACTTTGCAAATGGCCATGATGTTAGCCAGAACACTGATTTTGAAAGCAAAGCAGGGGATGGGGAGCTGTGGGAGAGGGAATTGCTGTGCTGGGGCTCGGCACATCAGCGGGGCAGAGGAAGGAATGGATGGAAGGAAGGACAGAGATCCCTCAGCTGTGCCCTGATTCCTGTTTCAAACTCCAACCAGTCATGGCAAAGTCTTGCTCTTTGCAGGAGATCTTGCTGCTCACTGAACACTAGTGAAATGATGAAATGGCAACAGCCCAAAACAGCTTTAGCCTCCAGAACTGGACACTGATTCCCTGCAGCCTTCCTAAAACTCAACTCCCCTTGTTGGGTTTGCTGCTATGTACAGGAGGGGCAGTCTCAACTACATATCCTGATGGGGAGGGACTCCTCATTAGGGACTGTAGTGATAGGACGAGGGGTGATGGGTTCAGACTTAAACAGGGGAAGTTTAGATTGGATGTAAGGAAGAAGTTCTTTACTGTAAGGGTGGTGAGGCACTGGAATGGGTTTGTCCAGGGAAGTTGTGAATGCTCCATCCCTGGCAGTGTTCAAGGCCAGGCTGGACAGAACCTTGGGTGAGATGGTTTAGTGTGAGGTGTCCCTGCCCATGGCAGGGGGGTGGAACTGGATGATCTTAAGGTCCTTTCCAACCCTAACGATTCTATGATTCTATTCTATGGTGTCTCAGGATGCTGCAAGGTTTAATTAATCCCATAATGCTACCTGAAGAAGTGCAAATCCTCCCAACTAGCCTAGCTAGGTTTGTTTTTAAAACCTCCTAGACTAAGAAAAAGAAAGTGTCTGCTGATGTGAACATCTGACAAGACCATCTACCCATCCCCATCTTCCTTCTAGTGGAAGGTGTCCCTGCCCATGGCAGGGGGTTGGAAGTGGATGAGCTTTAAGATCTCTTCCAATGCAAACCATTCTATGACTCTGACTTAGGGTTTTATAAACTATCTGGTCTGAAACCTTTCCTTTCCATTCACTTAAACCACCCTGGCAAGCTCACAAGTAGAGCAGCATGTTTCCCCCCATGTGTTTCTCTACACGTGCCCTCCTGTCTCACTCAGGGATGTGAAGTGGAAGCCACCCATGGCCCTGGCGAGCCTTTGCTCCATGGCCCTTCTCCAAGGGGACAGGCTCCACTGCTCTCCATTGGGTGCTGGTGGGGACTGCATCTCTTTTGTGATGGCTGTCATCAATTTGTTCCTCTCTAATTTCTTTACCCTCCCCCCTGTTCCAGATCATCACACAGACATCAAGAGGATGTGATAGGCATGTTTGAATAAGACAAATGAACAAAGACATTCCCCCTGCACTTCCCACTGGATAAATTACAGATGGGCCTGAATCAGTCCCGCCTCCTTGATCCAGCATGTCGTTATGTATCTGCCACTGTTGCTTTCCAAAAGGAAGGATGAATATAGCTTTAAATGATTAGCT